GCAATAAAATCCCAATTTCTATAAGTATAATGTTTGGTAATTTGAACTGCATGACTCAGCATTTTAACTTGTACAGTTATTCACTATTTCATACTTTTGCCTTTGTCTCACCAAACACAGGACAGACTACACTTGTTTATTCATATCTCTTTCTTACATTCAGTTTAAATATCTAATCTCTCCCTAAATATTTTGTTGTTTGTAGAACTCCTAACATCCTAAACAGACTTTCATTTCACACACAAGTCCCAGTTGGATTACTCCCCAGCTTCAACTGACCTAGAAACTGGTGAATGCCTTTGTGTCCATGCAGGAATGTGCTGCAGTGATCCGTACTCCGAGGTTGTCCCACTCTGCAAAGTGTAACATCGGAGCCATTCTGAAATCCTGCATATTCATGAACCGGAAAACTCGATCTCATGACCCTGACCCACTGCCACAGCTGAGTGAGTAAAATTCCAAATGTATCCTGACAATTACAGAGATGACTTACCCAAAGGTGCGTCATCCCTTCACCTCTGCAAACTATATACACCGCATTGTCTTCATGAAAGTAGAAGACAAAAGCTCCCAGCTATCGGTGCTCTTTCTGCAGTTTAAAGCAATGAAGTCCAACTTATTTAGGGCAGTCCAGTTTTCACATTTACTTTTTTTATCTTCTCATTGTTCTACAATACAGCAGAACTGGGAAATGAAAGGTCACTGCTGTTTAACACAATGGAGACTATATATAATACATGAACTGAATAACTGTGATTTTAAAATGAGAAGTATATTTTGGTAATATAATAATAATAATAATAATAATAATAATAATAATAGTAACTTATCTATCTCACATGCTAATGCCTCAAGTGCTACTTGACGTATTCTGACAACCATTTTACATACAATAACACTGTAAAATAGTAGAAAAATGAACATGGTTGAGCGAGTCTGTCATATAGTATATGTAAATAGTTATATAAGTAAGCATATGTAGCAGTAGTGTGATTTCAAAGCTGATGTGTTTTGGCTCCTCTGTACCATAATGCTCCCTCAGGCCAAAGCTTGATCATCGTCTGAGTCTAGACTCTGGATGCTCTTGAAAGGCGCTGCCGAAGCAGGGTTGTGTTTATTTTCCATATAGAGTCCAAAAAAACAGTTTTGCCTCAGGTCAAAGCGAGCCCGGACTCAGTTATGATCAGGAAAGTGCTTACATCAAACAGAAACTGACTCGGCAATGCACAAATAAAGTGCTATGATATGTTGATGGGACATTCCCATATGGAAACTGTCTAAAGCCTCAGGTACAGTATACACACTGACATAAAACCTCAAAGCCATATGTTTACACACACAAGGCACAACTGCAGTGGTGTGAGTGTGGAAATGAGAGCGGCATCATTATGTCTTTGCTCTGGGGACAAAGAAAAGGGCAGTATATGTGAAGTGTGCCTATATACACTTTATGTACTTGAGGAAAGTACAGACCGATACAACACTGTAGCAGTTAGCCATGCTGCCAGAAACTACATTTAACAGTGTGAAATACCACACAAGTGAAAGAGTCACTGTTAATTCTCTTATACTTGAACATTCAATTCTGCAACAAGCTGCACTCATACAACATGTGGTTCGAAAAAACAGGGCCACAAGTGGGCCCCTATAAGACGCCAGTGCCCTGAGCTGTTGATTCATGGTGTTGCCAAGTCGACCATGAGAAAGACTAAAAGAAAGAAGTTCGAATTGAGCCCTGGGAGACCACAAAGGTGATATTGGCTGAAAAAGATAAATTACTGCCTATTGTGATAAAGTAAAAGCCTGAACAGAGTTCAACAAAGCCGCTCCCATTCAATAGTACTGGATCTCTGCAGCAGTTAAACAAATATCGTCAAAGTCCAGGTCGAGCCCGCAATTTCACATTGTGGCTTTATAATATATGGGGGTGCAGATGTAAAATGACAGATAAAGCTCTGTAAGCAAAGTGGAATCATCATCCCTAACTATAAGGCCTACCACTGCAGTTTTACTTTGCTCTGGTTGGTAAAACAGCTGCTTTCCAATAGATTGTCTCTGCTGCTTCTTATCAAGCCCTGTCCATATTGGCGAGTGTCTTAGCTGGAAAAAGAAACTACAACAGTTCTTCAAATCAACAGATATGCATAAGTAGCACTCCAGCCTCTGTACACTGAGCCTGTTTTCAGAGCTGGCAAAGCAGTGAATGAAATATTTGTCAGAAACCAGCTCTATCTCAACATTGTATAAGTGCACTTAAAATGCGGCAGTAAATACAAGGCTATAAATAAATGAACGTGCACACATGGGAGCAGAGCCGTGTTCACACTGACAAATGCTCTGGATTCATGACTTCTGGTTGTTAATAGAAGTTTGGTAATAGGCCATTTCTGCCCTGGGCTCTAATGTGTTGTTTATCTCTGTAGTAATCCATCATTGGCAGCAGGGAGTTCTCTCCGAAGGCTATTGTTCCTCTTCTGTTCTGTCTGGGCTATGCTCCCCTTGTGGACTATGCTAAAGCGTGCATGACAGCTTTGACTACTCATTTCACAAAAAGAGAGTTAAAGTGACTGTCCCTGATTTTTTTTTCTTTTTATTGCACATATTTGAGCAAACTTTTTCTTGCCCCAGTTCAGATATATTGTAAAAGCAGCTATTGAGGTCGTAATGAAACGACTGTGCCTATGATGCATATAAAGAATTGGGAAGTGCGCCATTAAAAAGATAGTTGTTGTAACCCTCCCTTCGAAAGTTGTGAAATGTGCTGATAATGTCTCTGCTTTAGGATTAAGATGCTCATGCTCATGGTATGTGAGTAATAACTTTGGACTGCTGCACACTGTTTAAAATTAACTCATTTTGTTTTTACTAAAATCTATTTTTTTCTATTGTTTTAATTTTGGTGAAATTTGGAATCATGTATTTTGGATGGAATTTTCTGTTATGGTGACATAGCTCAGTGCTACTTCCTTTATTTTTCTCAACTGCTTCAACCAACCAAGTAACAATTAGAAAAACATTAACTTTAACATGAACTTAAGAGCAGAGTCTAGGCATCCTCAGTAAGCCACACACCAAAACACTTCACCAAAGCTGAAAGTTGCATCATTACATCATTTCTACTGTCAAACCCCAGACACGCAGACCACCCAGTCTTAAAGAGGTCAATTAGAACAGCATGCTCAAATCTGGCAAATCCTACATGAGGTCTGCAGACAAAGCATGAGCCTCTGCTGCTGTTTGAAGACGTCATCTGGCCCCTCCCACACCTGCCTGCTGTTCACATTGAAAACACACACAAATTGGCTTGTCCCTATAAATGTTTTGGCCATTATCCTGAGCTGTGGGAAGGCTGCAGTGAATCATGCAAACCTCCAGCAGAGCGGAGTTGGACAGATTTTTTCTTCGGTCTAAGATTTTCTGTCTCAGAATTAGTGAAACTTTATTTTGCCTTGTTTACATGTATTTTTCTGAAAGGCTTAAAGTCATAGACTGTGTATATAAATGGACATAGCTAACATGCTATCCTCCGTGTTCCAAGTCCTTTTCTTAATATAGAGCCTCGCAAGCATCACGAGCTTCATTTGACTACAGCTGAATGCTATCGATGATATCACACCCACTTAGTCCACTTCTTTATGCAGTCTGTGCTTACAGTGAACAAAGATGGGTGCAGAAATGACATATTCTCTCTGGTTCCTGACTCCAACAGCCACTAGAGCATTATTATTATTATTATTATTATTATTATTATTATTATTATTATTTTATTTTTTATTTTTTTAATGAAAGGGGTACCAGTTTGGTATCACAGCATGACAAACTCAAACTAAAGTTTAGAGCTTACCTTACTCCAAACTTCAGACACTTTGAGTGCTACTTTCTACAGATAGAGATCAGCAATCATCACAGTCAAATCACTCAAAATATTTCTTTTCAATTTAGGATTTTCAACATTTTATGATTTCTCTGTGACAAGAAGATTTTTAGCATTTCCCCAGAAACTGCTCATGAGTGAGCAAAAATGTAATTATAAAGCCAAGGTCTTTAGTTAACATTCAATTATATCACATTTTTCAATTACAACCACATTACATCTCCTTCAATAATATGAGCATTATGTTGTTTGTGGCTTTACTGCATATGAACATTCTTTATCACTATCCAATTCTAACTTGTGTGTTATTTGGATCAAGTAAAGGAAAGTGGAATTTTTCAAGCATGTTAATGTTGTATCCTCAACAACATAGCTGCAGTGGTGTTTTGCCTAATTTACTGTTTCATCTTGTCTAATTTTTACAATAATTCTGGTCTGGAGGTTTTGTCTAGATACAGTTAAACTACCGGAAATATCAAGGCTAGAAAACCCAAAGTATGGCTGCTTGATTAACTGCAATCAAATGATACTGCAATTTGAATGGAATTTCTTAAGGGTCCTATATTATGAAAAATTGACTCTTGTGAGCTTTCAGCCATGTTAGAATGTTGCTTCCTCATCAAAAACACAGCTGGAGTTGTTTTGTGTTCCATTCACACATGTTTGGGTAATCCTTTATTATTGGGCTAGCCACATCTCTAAAGCTCAAAATTTTCTGTTCCACCTTGTGATGTGGTGAAGCGGTAGTGTTCACGTTAACAGCTACCTTTTGCCTTTTGTTCAGTAGAAATTCCAGGCAATTCCAGGGCTGATATTACCCATATGATTCTAGTTTGAAAGAATACAGTTTAAATATGCAGGGTTTGTGTGTTAAGCATGTGTGAATGAAACAAAACCCAACTCCAGATATGCTTGTGCTGAGCAAACAACATTACAACATATGTTGAATCAATCAGAAAATATCAGAAAATAGTGTAATATGGGCCCTTGCATATGTTCTTCCACAACCCTACAGTGTAATGAAAAAGCCCCAATAGCGCCTAGTATAAAATCAATAATGTGTAAAATGTGGATGCTCATGTGCCGGTGTATATTTGTAATACCAGGATGAAAAAAACATACTCACCATGTCTGTATCCGACACTGGGCCGAAGCTGGTCACATAGATGTTTGTTCTCACTTCTGTCACGCTCTCTGAGGAGACAGCACAAACACAATGCACACATCAAACACAGATCTGCAGAGCGTCTCTGTCTTTCTAAAGCTGATTGTTTGTACGCCACGCTCCAGTCTGCCTGTTGGCATTTCCGTAAGCAACTTCTCACAAAAACGCACTCATCACGGGTTAGGGGAACTGCAGAGGAGGCTAAGATAGTGCCTACAGAAGAATGTCTACCCTCGTGAACTGCTTAATACCTGTCTGTTTGTGATGTTTGTGTAACACTTTGAGAATCAGACAGTGAAATGTGAGTTTAACATGTACAATGTGCAATTGTGCTTCTTTATGAAAAGTTAACAGAATGCATTCTTTTTATGTCAGAACCAGATGTAGCATTTACTCTTCTTTGGCACAAGTGTTTTTTTTTCAGTTAGACTAGTTATGTCCACTTCAACAACAAGGCAAGCCTTTGACCCAAAATAGATTCACTTTAGTCTGCTCCAAAAACATTTAGCAGCCTCAAGGGACAGGATCAGAGGGAAAAACAAAAGCTCAGCACAGACTATCCAGGTCTCCTACGAGCCTAAGTGTGCCCAAATAAAAGGCCACTTTTCACATGTCATGTGCACTATTGTAATCTCATTGGACACAATGCTGTGAGGGTATTACACGACTGTCACCAGGATAAGGTGTTATGAGACCAAGAGTAATTATATTCTCATGTACCAGAACACATACAGAGTCGCTTCATAACAGCTTCTTATGTCACAACAATTTTAAAATGAAACACATAAAATTAACACAACACAGCATTAGTCAGGAAAGTGAAATATGAATTTAATCACGGGTCCTTACAAAGTATTTTGTAAATGGCTTTAATAAAGCGCTAAGTGGGGCATGATGGTGACAGATCCAGTGGTGTGGGCTGAGTCAGCTCCTATGGGCACACGTGTAAAACAGCCCATTGGTCCAGTGTGAGACAAATAGCTGCTCCCAGAGGAGCACATCAGGAGAGCGATGAGGCCCTCCTCCAAAAGTGAACAGATCTTCGTCTCTCCCTGTGTCCCAGATCTAAAGACCACCCACAGGTGAAGTCTCAGTCCACTGGCTAGGGCCCCCCCGAGAGGAGCTGTACCTCCACATTAATCATCCCGGTGACACAAATAGATTGTACAAATATGTGATTATCACAACACACCGTCAGCATTTTGCATGGCCGCCATATGGGGAATAGAATGAGTTGCCATTTTTGTGCTTTTTTAACAATGCACTGGAGCATAGGGCAGAGCAAATAGATGGAGCTGAAAATGAAATTAAACAGTGTTTAGGGGTTTCAGTATTATCTATGCAACCCATATTGTTGGCTATATTTTGTTACATAATCATATTTCATTATTACAAGGCCACTTTTCTATAAAGAATATAGTATGAAACACAAACATGTATAGATTTAATGACATAAACAGGGTAACTTATTTGTTGAAGCGTGTTTTACACACTGCCGTGCTGTGTGCTTGATGCCTCTGGTTTCCAACAGTTTGGGTTATCCAGCCCGGAGCTCGGAGCCTGAGGCCGGGGCAGCGGAGCAGAAAGGACCATTCCAGCTGGCTGCTCCAGAAATGGCCCATCCTGCCAACGCGTGTGGACCCTCTGTGAGCAGTTAGCAGGTCCTCAGGGAGCCAGTATTTGGATGACAAGGCATCAATTAGGGATCTTTCCACTGACATACGTTTGAGGTTATATGCCATTTGGGCCTGATTGAACAAAGAATTCACCCTCGGGAACTGCATTACCATAACAGCACAGTGACACAGCCTCATTATAATGCAGGTGGGATTGTGCTGGTCATAGTGTCCGCATAATGTGCACAGGAAAGATTTATTTCAAGGCTCATAAGATGGATCCCTTTGACTATATCTTGTAAAGCATGGGATCAATGTCCATCCAACTGTTTCACACATAAAAATGTTCTTATAGTAGAAAAATATAAACTGTATCTCAACTTGACTGGTCATACATCACAATCACAAATGTCATTGAAACATCACATTGAAAGTTCAATTTCAAGAGGTTTTACTGTGTCAGATCTTACACTGATGTGGGCTGTAACTTACCTCCAAGCCCGGGGCGTAGCCGGTTGTCATATCCATCCAGCAGCCTGTCGAGAATACGAGTGAAAATTGTGATGTTGTCTTTACTGTCATCTGGAATCGGCTCTTTGTGTCCCACCACAGCCCTGAAGAAAAACACCAAAACAACATGGCGGAGTCAGTGGAAGAAAGCAAGAGCAACAATCAGATCATATTATTATTATTATACCAAATTATACAGAAAAAAGCAGAAAGCAGTGTTTTCCAGCCAGGGGTACATAGACCGAGCACTGAGCAAGAGGTACTTGGAATGGTTTCAGATTTTGAATAATGTTTCAATAAAAATGTTTTTCTTTAATTAAAATTGAAAACTTTATGAATATTTTGGGCATTTTTTTTTTTTTTACATCATATATCATAAATCATATTTAAGTTAAGCAGTCCTACTGTAGGTTAGAAATCTCTATTTGAAAGTCTCCAGTTTGATTAGTTGCACCCCAAAAAGCATCAGCTAACCAGCATTTCATTTGTGTATTCACATATTATCAGTTATCACGTATCAATTAATATCATAGTTAGTGGGTATTAATTTCCGTGGCCCTTAGTCCTGGCAGAACAGTATTGTGCAGAGATGAAAAGGCCACTATACAGAAGGTGGAACGCTGATGGGTTAATGAGTAGCATCTTTAATTAAACTCAAATCTCGGAGGAGCTGACCTATAATAATCCAAGTAATCCCTATCAACAAGCGCCTCATGCCTTGATCAACGGTCTCCTGGCCTGTTTAGGGCTAACCGTTAGCACAGAGGTTTATGGACTTTAGAGCTTCAAGAATATAGCAAGTTTTCCCACAGTATTGCTCAAAGTGAAGGCGTGCAACAGTAAATCTGGCTTTGCTACGGTTCTTAAAAGGGTTTTCTCTAGCTTAATCTATGTCGTAATAACAAACCCGCTCCAGTGTCCATCGCAGCTATGGCCTCTACTGAAGGTCACTCTGAAATATGATTGTATGTATAATTATTATCATCTTTCGGTGTTTAAAATGAGACTGCTGTATGCACGCGCTGGACGTTTTGGCTAATGGCTTTGGCCTGGGTAAGTGGCTATTATGTGGGCATATGTGGGCATGAATAAATATCAATTAAGCATCAGGGCTCCTTCATGTTTCGGTGAGTTTTTCCCCTGTACACTAATCCAGAAAGGACGTTGTGTCTATTTTGGGAAAGAAAATTATAGGCGCTGGACAGACTTCTAACCCTTTATTACCGACTGGGAATTCAAATATTATGTCAGAATGCATATAGCGTCATAGTCCCTGGGAGCACTTAACTGTATATAATGCTATTTTTTACAGCGGAGGTGGAATAATGCAGGTCTAGTGTCTTCTAAAGTGCTTTCTCCTAATACACAATCCTTTAAGTTATTGCTCATAATTTGCCACACACTGAGAAGCGCACTGCCTATAAATATGTCTCCCTGTCTAATAGGTTAGCAGAGCATTTTAAACTTAAACTTAGACAAACTTTATTGATCCACAATATATTATAATAACAAATAAATTCAAATAAGTAACAAATAGCAAATGTGGCACAATTATACAAATGTACTGTATATGGACAAATAAAAATAAAATATAGAAATACAGTAATACAAATATATATATCTATATACAAGAGGTGGCTAGAGGTAAGAGAAACAGTGCAAAGATGAAATAATTTACATAACAGAGGGTTATCTATTTCATAAGGGTGAGTTGTTGTACAATTCAATGTAGTCCTATTAAGTTATAGTGAAATGTAGGATTCGAAACGAGATAAATACATGTCATGAATATTTGAGAACAACTACATCTCTAAAATTCTTGTTTGAGCAGTTTTGTTCGTGACAAAACACATGCCAAACTTTGTGAAATGAGTGCCAGGTAATATCTCACTTAGCATGAATAATATATCGAACAAAAAGCCTCAAAGACCTCCCCGACGGCACCGCTAGAAATTAAAAAATTAATGAGAAACCTTTCATACCCATGAAGTTTGCTCCACACTACAAAATAACACTTCCAGTTTGTTTGGTTTTTTTCCGTGTATTTGAGCAAAATGTGTCTTTCCTTAATACAGATATATTGTATAAGGTCAAAATAAGTCATTGATAACATTGATAATCAGAATTTGCATAGTTAACATGCTAGTGTTTTTAACTTTACTGTGGCGGCAACCCTTTGATATTGAAAAGCGCTTATAAACTCGTCCCAGTATATAATTAGGATGCACTTTATTCAAAAGGCAATTGAAGAATAACTGGTCGACTGCAGACTGTTAAAAATGAAATAGTTTCAATTTTCAATTTTTTTTTTTTTTATATCTTTACAGATGCATTCAAAAATATAAAATGTTCTCCAATGTTTTAAAGGAATATTGATTGAACAGTTTAGCTCTAAAATAATAAATCTTCATGGGAAATTTGCCAGAAGGAGAAGGTGCAAGATGAAAGCCAAGTACGCGGTCGACGTTTGACAAGGATTAGTGCTGTAATGTGTCCTCCATTTTAGATGCAGGTGTTAAAATATTTACACGTGTCATGCATTCTAGCTATAAATAATGTTCCTATTTATTAATGTGTATGACTTGTGATTGCACTAGTGTGTTGTCACTGTGAAGTTGTAGTTTGTTGGTTAAAAGTGAATATTTGATCACGAGAGTGCCATTAACGAATGCCGTGTGAACTTCCTTTCAAAGCTGAGGCAAGAAGAGCAAGAAAAGTCCACATGGTGCTGTTTACTTATATAAAGATTTGGCAATGTCCCAGTATGGCTCATCATGTAGCATTCTTTGCCAAACAATAAAGATGGAAGAGCACTCCATATTTTGTTCTGTGTGTTTACTGCCTCTGAGTAGGCCTGTCACAATAACAAAGTAAATATAGACGATAAATGATAATACTGAAATTAATTTATGCCACTGACACAAAAAACAAAAAGCAGGGTTACCCACACAGAAATACTACACAATATTGCTAAAGAGTCATAATAATTAAATCAATCAATAAATAAACAGCAGAATGAAATGCAGTCTGTAACTATAAAGAGTCATAGAAGTGATGTATTGAACCTTTTCTTATTGTATAGCCAAAAAATAACAAAAAATTTCCCAGTACTGCAAAGACAATGTACACACGATAAATACTGGCTCCCTCAAAATATTGTTCCATGGGTCCTATATTGAATGATAAGTCAATATACTAATTATTGTGACAGGCCTATTTCTGATGTGTCTAATCTGCTGTAAAGTATTACATATTTTGTGTTGGTACATTGCAACAACTGCTGCTCATGATTGCTTGGTGATTAATTGGATAATTGCCATTGTTTAATAATATAATTGGTTAACGAAAATATGCTCAGCAGTTGAGTAATGGTAGTTTCATCATATAACCAAGAAATTTGTATAAGTATGTTATCAGCGGTTCATCTGGAGGTTGCGAAAAGTTATTTCAATTCACAGAATTGTAAAGCAACAGTGAGACTCCGGAAATACAAGTCAAAACCTGTTAAGGAATCACTGGTCGGACCCAAATATGCAAAGGGGAAAAAGTATTTATTTCACAAAAATAGTCTTGGTGGGGGGATAGATTCCAGGGGAGGCAGGACAGGTCCGGGTTGGCTGCAGATGGGAGATCTGTGGAGATGGAGGCTGACCGGAGGCTTACAGAAACTGGTGGGTACGGGATGAGGCTGGCTCCAAATGAAGTGCTGGGGATAGGACAAAAGAAACAGGTAAGCATCAAAAAGTCTCTGGAATTCTCAAAAACCTTAAAAAGCCTGAGTAGCTCACCACTGAGATGATGGAACAATCTGGCACTGGAGAGCAGGTCAGCAGGTCTTTTATTGTAGGAGATGATTACTTGATGAAGAACAGAAGTGGAGCTCAGCAGGTGCATGATTTTGGCCCACCCAGGAAATGCCAAACAAGGTAAGTAGATACAGCGAGAGGGAGCAGGGAAAGGAGGGGTAGGAGGAGCAGGGAGAACCCTCACAAAACCAGTATTCTGTATATTATATCTGAATACTTGGAAACAGTTTATGCTCTGAGCATTGAAGAAATATTTCAAAATAAGATTGTTTTGACTCTGGAACCAATTACTGAGTACAAAGTTCCAGGCTGCTGAGAGTGAGGTGTGTGGGCCCGGCCGATCAGGTTAGTGGACCAGGCAGGCGCTGAGTGAATGAACTGGCTTTGATCCAAGGTTAGTGTGCTGAAGCAGTCTGACAGGTGCGAACTGCAGACTGGGCAGTGCAGGAGATGTAGCGGGGGTCTCTGGGGGCACACAGGTGCCCTGGCCAGCAGGCTGAGCTGTGGACTGAGTGGGCCGGCCTGAGGCATGTGGCCAGTAATGAGAGGTGTTGTGTCAGTGAGAGCGTGCACAATGCGGAGTGGTGATGGCAAACAGATGTTGACTTATGAGGAGTAATTATACAGTAGGCCATCACCGCTCTGGGGCTCGAGGCTTCTGCATGTTTTATACAGTTGATTTTATTCAGTGAAAGGGCTCAATCTTTAATACATCTCATTAAAGTTATATACAGTTGCTCAGAGGATTTACTGCCATTTCCAGTCATACATTTCCAGTCACATATTTCCAGTAGAGCTGCACAATATATCATAATCAAATCCAAATCACAATTTGAGTTGATGCAATGATCAAATCACAAAAGCTGCAATTATTCTGATAATGTCACATCACATTTGCATGTTATTTTTAACTAACTGTGAAACAAATAGTACAGACACCAAGCGATGTGTTCTTGAGATCTGAAAATCTCTGGTCACGATTCTACAATAGACTATTCAGAAATGAAAAATACAAGAGATAAAGTGCATTTTTTTTTCTGTTGACAACTAAGTTTCTGTCCAATTTTTAGTCCTTTAGTTTTTAAATTGGGGTACTTTGAATCATGAAAAGAAAAAGTATTCAAAATCTATCCCTAGCTCTCACAAACCCTTTGGCACATTTCTATATTAACAAGCATAATGTTTTAGCTAGCAAAATATGGATGGAGCGCCATAGTACAGTCAACTCACTCTCACCCCATTAGGCTTTTTATACTGTTGCATGCTAATTATTTAGAATTTATTATTGTTGCTCCTTATATTATAATGTGATGTGTGACCTACTCTGTACAAATAATTTCCCTTGTGAATCAATAGTTTGTCTAAGTCTAAGTCTTTAATCTGGGTTTAAGATCAATAATAAAATGTCTTACAATTAGATTCAAACAGCATGCAAATGTCTGACTGTGTTCTGCTTTTACGTTAGGCTGTCAACATAAAATCTAAATCAGTCTAAATCTATATAGAAATATAAGATTTAAAGGTCCTACATTACATATAATTGACGCTGGTAAGCTTTAAACCATGTTATTTTGCTGTCACCTCCACAAAAACATACCTGGAGTTGTGTTTTCTAACCCTTTACAATTAGTCGGTCTACATCTCAAAAGCTCAAAATGCTCTGTTCCACTTTGTGATGTCATGAAGTGATGTGAAGTTCACAGCTAGCTTTTATCTTTTGTTCAGTAGAGATAGGCAATTCCAGGGGTAATATTATCCATATTATTCTAGAGAAGGTATATGGAGTTTAAAAACCTAGTGGGGGGCTTCCTGAATTACCAGAGTGTTTTCGGTTTGAAAGAACAAAATCTGCAGGGTTAAACACGTGTGAATGAAAAAACACAACTCCAGGTATGTTTGTGTTGAAGAAGCAACAGTATAACGTACTGTAGATCAGAAAATAATGTAATATAGGTTGTTTAAGTCTGGCACTCCACCTGTAAGAATTAGCCTGCTCCTCCTGTTTGATTTTAAGATACTTAAACATCATAATTTTATTCCGTTAGCTCTGTGTAATAGCTTGGGCTTTATTTTATTAAACTTTCACACAAACTTTTAATCACTTCATGTTTGTCCTGATTTGAATATAAAGTGGAGCCCTGAGCCACGTGTTCCGACATCCTAACCTCACTCAATGCGCCCCTAGCACTTCCCATCTACGGGAGCCATGTTTGAATCTGATTGATAAGGATCCAGCAGCCCAGCTATCTTCCTCTTATGGGGGTCCGGAAATAGAATGGCAGGGATTAGAAAACGCTGCATGAGTTCAGAGAAGATATGACCTTTCTCGACTGTTGTTAGCAGTTAGCGGGGCAGTTAGCTGGTTTATTTGCATCATAGTGCAGTTCTGTCACCTGATTTCGACCATGGCGGGGACTATTGCTTCGCTAATTTGCACATTCATGATTAACAAAATCCCAAGCACAAATGTATGCATGAGTTAACCTTTACAACATTCACCAATCTTCCTCGCCAGATCCTCCTCCTCACATTCACTCAACTAACAATGGATTGATAATGTTATGCAGTGGAACATTCTGCAGCTTATTGTTTTCTAATAGTGGAGGCCTTGTATCATTCAAAGCCTGTACAATATGACTGATTTCTCTTTGTTTGCAGTATTCTTTTTCCTTTCACCAGCCTGTTCTGAGCAGATAAATAGTGTAAGGAATGGTTGATCAGTCGACTTGTGCATGTCTATATTCACAGTAGTTAGGTCAGGTTTACATTTAAATTCATATTATGCTATTTTATGACCTGTTGTGATGTTGTTTCTTCATCACAAACATACCTGAAGTTGTGTTTTGTTTCGTTCACACATGTTTAATACACAAGCCCTCTAAATGGAGGCTGTGTTCTTCTCTCAAACAGAAAACACTTTGTGTCACCTTGTGATGTCATGTGGTAATACAAGAAGTGCTCCCCTGTGTAAACTCCATACACCTTCAGTAGAATCATTTGGCTAATTTCAGCCCTGGAAATGTCATTCTCTGACTCCGAACTCAAGGTAAAAGGTACCTGTTAACATCAAAACTACATCATGACACCACAAGGAGCATTTTGAGCTTTAGCTATGTTGACAGACTAATAACAAAAGATTACTCAAATACTTGTGACTGAAAAAAAACATAACTCCAACTATGTTTTTGATGAGGAATCATCATTCTAACATGGTTAAAAGCTCTCAAGAGTAAATTTTGGATAATATAGGACCTTTAAAATCTAATTAAGTAAAGTACAGATACCTAAACTCTATACTTAAAGGTTGTATGGAGGATTTTTTTTTTGTTTCAAGTTGTCAATGATAGCATTATAGAGGTGCAGTAGCCTTGTAATTATGATGACCAAAAAAAAGAGAATAAAAATTCATCAACTCTGGACGTGGTGGGGCCAGCTAAACATTTGCCAATAGATAACGACATTGCCTCGTTATCTGTTAGCTGACAGGCTGTCAATCAAACTCCCTACGTTTCTAGCGTAACTGACTTGCCTGCGCGCCGCCGGTACGTGGTTTACGTACGTCTGTCACGCAGTCCACAGACGCAAGACGCACAGACGCTGTTTACTCCACCAACGCAATAGTTCTTAGCGGCTTTTTTTTTACCTATATCTTCCTCGCAGTTAGCACAAAGTTTGTTGCAATGGCAGACAAGAATCCAGGAGCAGTTAGCCGCAAAAGAAAGTCCGTTTTTGAAGTCACTGAAAGAAGAAGATAAGGGGAAAAGCAGCGAAGCCAAACTAAGGTGATTCTTGTAGATTCATTCCAGCGATGGCGCGACTGAAGCAGACGCAGGGTCTAAAGACTGACGCACTGGTCGCCAAATTACTCCTGGACAGGTCACTTCTGCTTATTATGAAAACGTACTTTATTTCCAAGAGCTAGACAAACGTTTTTCAGGACACGAAAGCGATATCCTATGTCTGAAAATGTAATTTTCAAGGCAAAGAAAGAGTCCGCTTGCTGCTGCATGTTGTAGCTAGTTCATTCGCACTGAATCTCCGCGCACTCTTCTCTGCTCCCCTTTCCTGCTCCTCTCCCCGCTGCCCGTTCCGCTCTTCCCCCTGCTCCTCACTTCTCCGGGCACGGAATCTCCGCGCACCCGCTCCCCTCTCCTCTCTCCTCTCCTCTCTCCCTCGCTCCGCTCTTCTCCCTGCTCCTCACTTCTTGTCCGCGCACGAAATGTCCGCGCACCCGCTCCCCCCGCTCCTCACTTCTCCGTCTTGCCTAACCAACACTGTAGTTAGTTGTTTACAAGTCATGTGCAGCGCACCGGCTGTAAACAAACCTGTTTCTGGCGTAAGGAAGAGGCGGGAGGAGGCGTTTCTACATAGTTAGCTGTAGGGGAGGGGGGGTGGTTTCACGCATGCGCAACATTTGAAAAAGGACAAACAGTCGCTGGATTTCTCGTTCCTTGGAAAATCCTCCATACAACCTTTAAGTACAGTACTTTACCACTTTTACTTGTCATGTTCCACCATTACATTTCTATAGCACACTTCAAAAAGCAATATCTAGATCAGGGGTGTCCAAACTTTTTTCATCAAGGGCCACATATCTAAACACAGATGAAGCAGAGGGCCGATCGAGGGCCGTAGACTGATGCTCAGTACAGGGAAATAATTGAAATATTGCATGTTTAACACATTTGAATGAGCCATCAGTCTTTATTCACGCTAAGATCCTTAAAACCACAAAATAAATATTAAATATGAGCTTTATCAAGGTTGATTTTCAAAAAAAAAAACTTGCAGTAAAAAATATTTTTTAAATGATGCAAGGTAATTTGGGCCAATTCACCTGGAAGCTTGAGGGCCAAGAAAAATTTGTCTGAGGGCCGCATTTGGCCATAGTTTGGACATGCCTGATCTAGATAATTTGAAATGACTTAAATTAAGAATATTTTACTTAATTTGAGCAGATTCAACGTGACCAGTAAAATGATTTACCAATGGAACAAGTGTGTTTTTCTTAATTCAAGCAACATTAGATTTTGTTTCTTATTTTAAGTGCAAAGAGTTGTTGTTTTTCTTAAGTGTAGCAAGATGTACTTTCATATTTTAAGTACAAAAGGTCTTGTTCCATTGATCAAGTATTTTACTTGTCAAATGAAATTTACTCAAATCATGATAAAACTTTCTTAATTTAAGTAATCTTAAGGGTGCATTGTGTAACTTTTCTGGTGGAGGGTCTGTCAAATGCTTTTCTCTGAGAAATGTTATTGCTTTGACTGAGATGTTTCACAGTATGGCATTAATCCTTTTTACCTTCATGGAGACCAAACTAGACCAAGTTACAGGCCAGATCTGTGGAGAGGCGACACTGCTCGGTATTTTTGAGCTGTAAAACCACCTGTAGTTGATTAAATGTAAGTTAGAGCTGTTTAATGTCATACTGTGGAACATTCCAGGCAGAGAATTGACATATCCATAGAAAAGCTGCACAATGCACCTTTAAGTACAGAATTATACTTTTACTTTGTTACATTGCACCA